ACACTCATTCATCAAACCAGGTCATTATTTAAGGAACTAAGGTTATGTCTTAACTTAAAGACAAAAATTCCAGTGGCCTATTATGTTTTATACTTAAAGCGGTGATAATCAATATTTTTCTTATGTTAACAATGGATCACATGACTACTGATATGGAGAAGGGTCGCTGGCAGTGATTAACCCTCAGAGAATTATTACCCAACCCTGCAGTTAACCTCAGCTCTACAGAGCTTTATAGCATCCTTGCGCAATTGCAATTTCAGTGTTTTGGTTCAATATCTATCTACATGCTCGGCACAACAGGGCAGAGCAAAAAAGTTAGCAACCAGCTGTTGACCGTTAGCATTTACCTGCTAAAGAGCCAGATATTTCCTTCAGGCGCTGGTGGGGAACAAAATAAAGCTAAAACGAGATTGAGTATTGGACTTATGTGGCCAAAAATATGACTCTAAATGAATGCTCATGTTGCTCCATGTACATTAAAAATATTTTTTTTCTAACAAGTTTGTTTACGAGCTTTAAAATGTCAGTGTTGTGTTTACAGCTTGTTTCTGCTGCCCCCAAGTGGCAAATATTGCAGGTTTGAAGATAGTAGATGGTAGGAAGTAGGCAAGGGACCATTGCCCCTTGATCTTTTTTCTAAGCCTAACCAAGTAGTTTTGTTTCCTAAATCTAAATACGACCGTTTTACAGAGCCCGGTCTCAACCCAAAGTCGTCAAAATCCTGTTCTTGACTTGCAACATCAGAAACCAACGAAAAAGAACAGTCTTTAACGTTGGCACAATACATGGCTGGTTGCCGTCATAGTTTAATGGCACCTGGCGGCATCAGGATGACATGTGGCGGGACAAGGATGAAGGTTAAGGTGGCAAAAGTCCAAGTAGGGAGGGCAGGAGGGTCAGTGGATGGGTCCAAGCACTGACTTTCACCCAAGAGAACTGTGTTCGCATCCTGTAAGATTCTAAAGCCAAATCCCATTTTTTTTCCTAAACCCAACCACTTGCTTCTGTTGCTTAAACCTAACCACATATTTTTTGTTGCCTAAACCTAACCATTTCTGTTTGTTGTTGAAGGAAAAAAAACACATCAATTTGCAGTGTTGTACCGACGTAGTGCGTTTATTTTGAATTCGACTGTATGTAAATGGTAAATTTCCTGTGAAAACGGAAGTGTATTTTGAAAGAAGACAATGCATGTAACAAGCAGAACTTGACATGGCGTCCCAGAACTTCAACAACCAACACACCCAGTGTACCTTGCACGTTGTATGTGGACATGCAGAGTCCATTACCAAGCACATCAATATGTGACGAGGTTGGAGTGAGATGGTGTTGTTTTACAACATAGTCCATGTTTCAACTGTGCATAACATAGAGATGCCAAAGAGTGCCCTGTGTGTCACTATGAGATGCCGAGGAGCATGACAATGTGTCAGTATTTGACAACCTAATGATCGGGTTGGTCTTCCCATCATTTTATTAAGAAAGCCAATTTGGCCTAAGGAATAATTAATGACACATCCAAGGCTGCAGGGAGAACACTGAGAAACACTGTTATATTCACCCTATAACTGTCACCCAACAAAGTTGAATGTTCACAGAGGTAAAATGTCTGCTTTATGACCAGAAAGGGCGTCACATTTGGGTTTTATTGCCACAGTGTGTGCAGGCTGTTCAGACAAACTTGTGGAGATGCCATTAACTGAACAGAGCTGGAGTTACAGTCAGTATTCTGCAACTTGCTTCCAGTCTGAGAAAACACTCCAAATTTGATTTCATTTGGAGCATACTGTTGGACTCAGCCTCAGAAACAGCTCCCCTGACAGGCTGTGCTGCTGCTTACAAACCTGAGCCTCCTGCTGTCGCTTTTCTCAAACAGATTTCACTGAGCCTCTCCCGTCCCATATGTGTGTGTAGAGCTTTTTGGCTGAGAACAAAAGATAATTGGGTTTGTGTCATTACACCATTTCCAAAAAATGACCTCATCCTAGTTAATGACAATATAAAAATGCATAAAACACCCCAAAATAGGTTGGGAGTTTTTGTCCCTTAGGGTAGGCCAGGCTACCGTACTCTTTGCATGGTAAATATTACTCTGTCTGTGGTCGGGTTTGTCTGCAGCAAACAACAGGCCACCAGAGAGGATGTCAGTGTGGAAAGTGCGGCTGAGACTTAGAAACTGAGGAGAGGAATATGAGTTGAGTTGTGGTTTTACAATACTTCTTTTTTAAGGATATACAAGGTCCAAAGGCAACATTTATGAAGTCTATCTCACCCACACACGATTCATTTAAGTCATCTCCTGTTTCCTTGGAATCAGTACAACGTGCATGACAAAAGGATCTGTGTTCATCGAAAAAAAAAAAAGTTCTTAAAGGAGCTTTAATCTCGAGATACTGAAGCTGAGCAGATTCTCTTGCTGACAACCACATCAAACGAGTTTTCTCTCCCTCATTTCTCCAGTTCGGAGTGTGTCTGTCCCATCTTTATAACCCCCTTTAAAGCACTTCATCTGGGGTCTCAGGTAGGGTTTCCACTTCCTGGTTGTCACAGTTATGGCTCATTAAAGAGCTCTCTTTCTCAGCAGGAAGGAAACTGACTCCCCTCAGATCCTGTTAATGTGCGTGGGTCCTTAATACCGACGCTGTCACCAATGCACATCTTGTCTGTGTTAACATTAACCCAGATAGAGGGCACTCTAATGAATGTCAGATGCTGCATCGTGGCACTGAAGGCCGAACACTTAATCAAGTGCAAAGTCACTGTTTGAATACATAAAAGGGTCAGCCTGCAGCTGCTTGTGTTGAAATCCTTTTAAAGGTCACCCTTATTAGGGGAAGACCGAGTGAAGTCAGTAACTACTTTGTCATTATCAAAGGATTAACACATGCAAGTACTAATTTACTTGGTAAGGATGATGAGTTTGAGATGTATCCAATTTTAAAAATATAATCACTTACTTCATTGGTTTTGCAACTAATAATTAGTTTTAGTATGGATTAATCTGACAATTATGTTTTCAACTAATCTATTTATCATGTGGTCCATAAAATGGGAAAATAGTGAAAAAAGGCCATCACAATTTCTCAAAGGCCAATTTAAGATATTCCAATTGTAACCCAGTTGCTAGAAGATGTTAGCATTGCTTGTTTCTGCAAACCACAAATATGTTACAGCCGCATGTTTTAGACATACCATCACCATCATTTCTAAAGTGAGATGGAAGGATGATGGATGGGATGACACCCACACAAGACGCCTGCCAAGCTGCCAACCACTGTTCAAGATCAGCAACAAGAACGGGTTGTTTTAGCCAGACATTGCTGTGTTTTTAGCGGCTTTTTAGCATGGTTGTCTTATAGTGACCCTTCAACGGAGATAGTGGCACATAAAGTGGTTGTCTTTTACTGAGACATCACTTTTATTTCTGCCTAAATTATGCCCCAAAAACTGGTATTTTAGGCCAGAGCATGATCTTTTCTTAGCCATAACCACGTGGTTTTTTTGTGCCTAAACCTAACCACACATTAACGCCTTGTTTCCACTTATGTATGTGTACGGAGGCGAAGCAACCAGAAGTCCATGAATTCCTGTGGGAATCTCCATGACATCTGATGTACCTGCGAAAATCCTCCACTCTGTAACATTTCAGTCTGGAATTAGCAGCAAGTATATTTAAAAAAATTGAACTTTTGTGGTGGAATTTGGAGAGGCTGTATGACAGTGTGCTAGCTGAGCTAACAGACTGCTAACTTGCTAACATGCTATTTCGTTCGGTAAAACATTATTAACAGTGGGATCGTCATTATGACTTGTTCAGCCATTCATATGTCTTCTTAACTGAATATTTCACAAAACATACCACCTTCCTGGCAGGTCCTGTTTTTGTCCCGGTAATGTTCCAAGCGCATATTCCAAACTACTGGATGGTGAAAACATTACTTACTTTATCACTTTTTTTCTTGTTGTGTAGTTAAGAATGTGTCATATTTTATGGAGTGACCATGGGTTTTATTGAAAAAAATATCAACAAACTCATAACTATGTGTCTACTGTAGCTGTTGGATAAATATAGAGAAGTAAGAATTTGTTTCTGAAATAGAGTGCAGGAAAAGTACGTCAGTAAAGTACAAACACCCCAAATGTGTACTTAGATGCAGTAGTTTTTCCTTGTATCATTAATATGACTTACAGAGATTCACAGGCACCTGTAAACAGACAATTGTGACCCTCCTGAGATCAGCAGTATTAGAGGTAAATATTCAAACGTCCTGTCATTAGTAATGGTATCTCTGGTCTCTCATCTCTCACGATGCTCTGTAGATACCCCACAGACTCTCAAACTGACAGGAAGTCTGGACAGTAAGGATGTTGAGATGTTGACTCTGGAAAAAGCTGATGCTGATGCTCCTAGCTGCTATTTAAAGCAGAGGATTTCTGACCTCCAGTGTCACATAGATGATGTATCATTGTGGACAGAGCTGAGGCAGAGAGATGATGATCCTCTATAATGCTGCCACTTTGCCACATTTTATAACAGCTCAGCTACATCGTCCACACCCGTCCATGGGGACCTGTGAACCACCGTCTCGGCCGGCAGAGATGCTCATACACATGGCAATGCGAACATGTCAAGTGTTTGAAACATATTTTCTTGTGATAATGTGTGAGAGCTGGTGTGCTGCTGAGCTCAGGAAGGCTGCTGGAAAGGTCATGCAAAGTGAACTGTTTTAGATCAAATGGCAAATGTACAGTTAGGTGTGAAAAAATGATAACGTGCATATATAAATCAAATGTTGTCTCTGTGGCCTTAAACCAGGTGCAATTTCAACACGAAACTGTGAAAATTAGACATCAGAAATGTAACATTATGTCAAGAAAACTGATCTTAAAAATCACTGTGACCATACTAAATCTGTCGCATACACACAGTGAAAAAGTATGTTGAATCTTCCAATTGGGATATTGCATCTCATCAATCTGTTCTTTGTTCTCCACAGGGAGCCATTTTCTTACATGGAAACAGAGTTACAGAACATCCAGTCAGCGGTGATGAAGGAGGGAAATTTCTCTTCGAGGTCATTCCAGGTAGGAAATGTTGCAGTGTAATAACTTTGTATTTTTACTGAGGACAAAATGATGATGGCAATGCTGACAGGAGCACGAGCAAGAAAAACAACATCTGTGTGCAGCAAATACATTTGAGGAAAGTCTCACACACTGTGAGAGATATCTGGGGAAGTGAATGATATCATTGATATAAGAAATGTAGCTTTCTATGGCAGTTGACGAGTTAACCATTTGTTTGCCTGCTGTTTGCTGGGATTGCATGTATGAAAAGTTCTCCTCTTGTTAGTTTTTACATTACATTATAGATTTTGTATGCTATGGATTTTATTATCACCTGAAAATAAGAACCACTGTGTTTTCGTCACCTTAGAATGAGCTGTTTATATCTACATACATGGCAGGGAGTCAGCCATGTTGTTACAGTAGCCCAGAATGAACAAATCAAACGGGCTCTAAACAGGGCCATTCACATTTTTTTTGCATTTTCACCTGGGCCACTGTAGTTCTGCAAGCTCACCACTAGATGTCACTACATCGTACACATTGGACCTTTAAAGAAATGTATTTTTTTCCCTTTGGTAATATGCTAACTTGCTCTCTTGCTGAGGGTTAAAAGAGAAGATTGATGCCTCTCTTCTATCTCCACGCTAAATATAAAGTTGCAGCAGGAAATCGCTACCCTGGATTTGTGTAAAGAAAACAAAAATCTACCTACCAACATCTCCTAAGCCTATTTAAAAAAGCAATTATATCCTCTGTTAAATCCATGCAAAAACCCAAACGTAGAAGCATCAAGTTTTGGTTTAATGGGGGTGTAACAGGGCGCCCAGGAATGCTGCCCAGCCTTGCTTCCATTTTTTTTCAGTGGCCACTTGTGGTATTGCATCCTGGCCCAAAAAGCATTTTTCCCATAGACCACCATCATAAAAGAGGTCACCTCAAACTGCAACCAAGGTCAGTTAAGACTTTTTCTACTATGAATTTTTGATTCACTTCCTTAAAGCCGAGAAAAGCAAAAACACAACAAAACTTGGGGGCTGCATATCCCGCAAGTAAACACTGAACCTAGAAACATTTTTTGGCCTATGTGGCAGGCAAGCAGTCCAGTTTGGTATGAGGTCTGATACCTAGTTATTACAGTATACATCTGTGACTATAACCCCCTGTATAACCCCTGTTTCTCTTTATGCTAAGCTAAGCTAACTAGCTGCTGGCTCCAGCCTTATATTTAACAGACAGATTTTGGCCACAGAGTTTCCAAAAATGTCTAACTATTCCTTTAGTTCAGAGGCTTGGCTCAGAAGCCGGCTTAAACCACTGACCACACACACATGCACACATGCTCCCACACATAAACTCAAAGAGGAGCACATGCACAGACGCCAGGAGACTGTATGGAAACATGTTCGAATACAACACAAAGGAGTAGTGGGGTATTTTCCCAGGCGGAGCGATGCCAGGAATGTCAGTCTATGGAATAGATATTTAAAACACACATGCACACTGGGGAAATAGAGACAGCTGGTAAAAGATACAGTAGCAGAGTGCAGCAACAGCAACAGTTGATCCATCTACAGTTAAAACACTGCAGACAACACCGGATGTGTGCAACAACTACTTGCATTTTGTTTATCTTCATCTTTTCCCTGGTGTGTAGCCACTACAGTTTCTCTCAGAGGAAAGCAAAATATAAGTGTCAAGACATTTTCTCACATGATTTGTGGCTCCCATTGGACGCATACAAACTGAAAAACAGTGTGACCTGGCAGATAATGGAGCAGAAAACATTTGTCAGTAAAAGGTCAATTGAAGGCTGACACTGCGCCAAAATTAAATAAGTAATTTGGGCAGTTGTCCAGAGCTGACAGATGAAAACTCCAGGTATGTCACAGGTTCGCTTGAACGACTCTTAGTGGTGTTTTTGTTTTTGGATGCTAATGACCTTACTGGATTTTTAATAGTTTCCACATCAGATGAGGATTAGCACCTCCCCGCAGAGATAACTTCATGAACTTTCAGTTCCACTCCATGTTCACACTGGCATAAAGCAAAATCAAGTTGTCAGTTTGTGATCAATAGTTCTCATGTTTCGTATGGTTGTGTTATAGGAGAAACAATAGGAGGCCCATAGAGCAAGTGCAATAGAGACTTAAAGTGGCTAAGTTCCGATTCAGTCCTCCGCTAACTTGAATGGGGATAAAAAAAATTGATTGCAGCTTTGTTAAACTTTCGAAATGTTATCAACCAAATGGATCAAATCCCGATAGTGAAACCAGGCATTTCGTGCAAATTGTGATGCTCAAGACAGTGTACCCAATAAATTACAGATGTCTCTCTCACAATGCAAGTCTATGGAACTTGTTATTCCATGACCACTACGAAAATTGGCTCCAAAGCCCAGCACTGCTTTTGGGGGCGTGTGATTCATACATTGGCTGCTGTAGGTTTTCAAACCTGCAACATCTCTATCATAGGATAAGCTCTCCTTAATAGCACAATTTGATTGACGCCATCCATAAGGATCTAAAAAGTGTCTAAATAATCAGTTATGCTTTTGAAATATGGCAGTGCTTAGCTGAATAAAGCTGCTCTGAAGAAAAAAAAGTTTCAAAAAACATTTTTTTTGCTCTGAAATGGATTTTCAGTCCTTTTTTTTTATACCTATGCATTCAAGCTGAAAAAGTGTGTGTAGCACATAAATCCACACCCAGCATTATGTAGAAATGCATGACCAGAACATATGGTTTAGAGGATAGCATCAGTGTGGAGAGACATTTTCACCAACTTTTCTCTGGAAACATGAAGGTGGTCACATATTCTAAGGCACTGCTGAATGTGATCCCGATCTGTGCCAAGTTGCCAGGTGGCATTACTCTTGTTCCAACTCAATTTGCATTGTGAAATAAGCTTCACTGACTCATTGTGCCCCCCCTTTCAGTCTCAGTTTCATTTCCCTGTTTCCAGGTGCCACACTATATGCTGTAGCATATAAAGCATATGAACCATGTGCAGAGAAAATGAAGAGTATGATCACATGTAACACTTCACCCCCCTCTGAAGTAAATATGTGGTCTATTGACAGTTTTTCGATTTCTGTTGACTTATGAGAGTCAGTGTTTGTTTTCCAGTCTCCTCCACTACAAACAGTTTTCTTCTATTTTCCAACCTGCTGGACCAGACTGTATTAGCTTCTTTGAAAAGGCTGAAAGAGGGGAGAGGAAATTGGAAATCCAGTGACTCCAGTGTTTTTTCTACCTGCAATAGCAGTCGTAACATAATTTCCACAGCTTTGCCGTTTCATATTCCTCTTAACTCATGTCATATGCTGGAGTTTCTTGGTTTACTATGTTGGATATGACTGTGTTTTTCTTGTGGCATTTAGTGATGGTGAATGTGGTTAAGTAGCTGGTCAGGGAGTCAGTTTCAACCTTGTTAAACAGCCCATGACATTGTTTCATTATTGATGATTTTGAGGCCGCAGAGATAATGTGCAACTATTTAATAGTTACTGAAAATCAACTGTTTTCATATTATCATGGCACCATGTTATGCATCTTCAGTTTTAGCTATCAACTATACCAATGCAGTGCTAACAATAGCTCCACTTTAATGTATTATGTAATAACAGGAAAAGTAGTTTAAGTACAAATTGCTATTGAAAAACAGTCATAATACCAATACTCTGAAGGACGTGCAACCACAGTGCAGTGAACAATAACATACTAGACACCAGTAAGACAGAAAAAAGAGCAACAATACGTGCCAACAGTATAAGGACAAAACGATGAAAATGTTACACATACAATAATGAGAGCCTCATCAGTCAGTGATGACCTTGGGTACAAAAAACAGAGAACTGAAGGTGAAGTCATTAATTATTTTGGGCATCCTACAGGTAACCGCCCCTGAATTTTGAACTTGAATGCACCACAAACATTTTAGGATACAAGAAGGAAAACATCTGTGTGTATTTATTCCCTAATGGTATTTACCTAAGCACATGATGTTTCCTGTGTACTTTCATTTCAGTAAGACCATGAAACTTACTAAATAAAAGCCACTGAGTGCACTAGTTACAATTTTGGGATGAATGCTTAATGTAGGTGGCAGTAGCACAAGTAGAGAAGCGTTATACCGTCAGTAAACTGACTCAGTAATGCCATTCATGCCGTAATATCAAGCAAAAACCTATGTATGTAAAACCTATGTATGAGCTACATTTTATAGCTTAAGAACTCAGCTTCTCATCTGTAAACAAAGATTTTGTTGTTTCCTCTTTCAAAAGTCACTTCGTCCCATTTTCAAAGACAGTTTGACATTTCAGGAAATATGCTAATTGGCTTTCTGACCTAGAGTTTGATAAGACGATTGATTCCATGCATGTCTAATGTGAAGCTACAGCCAGCAGCCGGTTAGCTTAGCTTAGCACATAGACTGGAAACAGCCAGCCTGGCTCCGTCTAAAGATAACAAAATCCTGCACCTCTAAATCTCACTAACTACAGGTCCAGTCTGTAGGATTTACTGGCAAGGCATCTATTGTCAGAAAGGGAATATAATATTTATAACTATGTTTTCATTAGTTTATAATCACCTGAAACTAAAAATAGTTGGGTTTTCATTACCTTAGATTAGGGTCCAGCAACCTTTACTTTCAAAAGAGTCATTTTTGACCAAAAAAATAAAGCAACAAACATTTGCACATCATTTCATTCTCTATTTTCCTTCAAGACCTTTATTTTTTTGGGTTTAGAATCCATAGTCAGCTCAGCTAGACTCAAGACTAGTTACTGCTACTGAAGTTCAGCAAAAAGCTGTAGATGTATGCACATTTTAGATGTTAAAACTTTTTTTTTTAATTCATTTTATAGGCTATACATTTTCATAATTGGAGAAGATGAGAATTTCTTTAGGCAACAATAATCAGTGAAAATTAAAAATTGTCAAAGCCACAGGGAGCGACTGGAGAGGTGACTAAAGAACCACAGGTTGCCATCCCTGCCTTAGAACAGGGCATTT